CTTTCAAGATCCATGCTGACACCACTAAGTAAAATACGATTGAGTTTCAAAATTCAACACTTTTCACCCTTAAACATGATATTCGTGATCAGCGTAGAAAACCTGCATCTACTCCATGTACGTTTGCAAACTTGTAAAAATGTGACAAACAAGAGCCTATTTATTTGTTGTAAAATTCTAAAAGCGAGAGAAAGAGTTTTACAAAATTTCTGAGAGACACCCCACGTTTCAAAAACCTTATGTCCAAATTTCATGCAACTAAACGGTAGAATATATTCCAAACATCACTCTGACACGTGCTATATCGATAAAAAAGTTGAGTCCATTGTGGGCAAAAAACTATCTTAACTAGACTAGTCCTTTTCGAAGTTTTCGAGAAAAAATCAAATTTTTGTGAAAAACTAAGCAAAGCTGTGTTAGAGAGGCTGAACTGACTAAAAAATTTCTATTGAAAGTATTACATGATCAGAAAGTGTAGTGTATTAGCTAAATAGATGTTGGAATCTCATATATTTAATTTCTCATATAGGGCAACAACATGACACTGCCACACTTTAAAAACACTGTATTTCACGAATTTGAAAGAGATCACAGTTGAAGTATGCTATCTTGTTTTGTTAAAATAAACTCCAAAAATACAGACGAAATAAAAATTTGGCTGCTTTTTTTGTTAACAGTACAAAATAAAAGATTACACTGCTTAAAAAGAGAATCATAGAGCACAGTAGAAGTAGTACACAAGATTTTTTCATGAATCGATTGACCATTGACTAGTATATATGGATTCGTGTTTAAAGTTTTGAAAATCCCACTTTCATATTTCCATCTAATGTTGATTTGATTGTCCACTGTGCTGTATCTCTGTAACTGTGGTTGTATTTCGAGAGCCACAATTTGGTTTAAAAAGTTTTTCGTCCGATTCAACTGAAAACGATGCCATTTTAGTAGTTTTTCATGTTGATTCCGAATATATGTTTATTTTTTTAAAAAATGTGATCCAGACGCTAAAAAGCCTTCAAAAACCCGTGGAAAACAGGGAATTTTGGATTTCTGCCATTCTTCAAGGAGAAGGATATGCACCTTTATGCATTCAGCACATGTGCACCATATATCCATCAACATTTAGGGAAAGTTTGGCTTTATTTGGAATTGCGGAAAATTGTGGAGATCAACTGCACCAAGATCGTCTTTCCAGAACAGGTGCTCGCTGTAAAGAATTTAGTGTTTCACTGTGAACATAGAACTTTAAATTAAAACTTTTTGTTTATGAGTCGACAGCTTAGAAAGTCTAGTTTCAGAATATGTAAGTTTCATTTTTCTAGATTTTATATAATTTATAAATTTATAGTTTTCTTTCTGGTAGTAGCGTAAACGCTAGTGATTTTGTGACTCATCTTTTCGAACCAATAAAAAGACGTAGAACGAAACGTTTTTTGGGAATCGATTGGCCATTGGCTAGTGTATATGGAGCAGTATTCAAAGTTACGAAAGTCTCAGTTTCGTTTTTCCACCAAATGTTGACTTGATTGTCAACATTTGGTGGAAATGTATTCTCCGGATTTCCCACCTCTCGGTCGTACAAGTCTACTGTCTATGTACTACTACTATGTATTTACACGTCTATACGAATATCAGATTTTCCTGTGTAACAGTGGAGCATCAAAAAATGTTGAACTAGACTTGAATCGATAAAGCATGAGCAGCATTCCACATTTCGATCTGCCAAATGCTACTCTTCCTATGGCTTTTACGCTACAATTGTCTTTCATATCTCATTCGAACCGCTTTCCGAAGATCTACAAAGCTAAGGATCGCTTTTTTCAAACATGTTTTTCTCTAAAGGCAAAAGCGGACCTTACCGAGGTTTTGAGAGGTTTCTGTCTTTCGAAAACGATCCGGGTGACTCGAAACTTTCACTGCAACCGTTTCTCACCACCCAAAACATGTGTGCGAAGTGTCATCGAAGTGTAGGTAAAAACGAAAGTATTTTCATATTATCACGAAAAAAGCCTTGCCATCTAAGTTAATATTGAATTTCGAATCTTGCGAAAGAGGGTGACGCACTTTGTTCCTTTTTTTCTGTCACGCCATCACTTATTGATAAGGATACAAAAAGAAAGAAACATATTTAACGGCAAATTCGTGTACAAGCGCTTTTCTTTCTACCACAATAAACGATTATTCGTAGTTTTAGTATAGTGGACGCGTCAATACATTCACTTCCCCTAGTTTTTTTTCGTCTTTTCATGAGTGAAGGGTACTCACTTGATCTGCAGCTCTCCGTAGAGCTCTTCTACGAACTCTTTCAATGGATACAGCCGACTGAGCTTTACAACGGGTGGATGAAGCAAAACAGGCGTATGGACTCCATCATCGAAAAAAAAGCCATCCGTATATGTTGAATACGGGTGTCCATTAATATTTTCCTTTGTAGAAAACTTTCAGAAACAAGATTATTTCTTCTCTTTTTCATTGTTCTTCACGCACGTACGTGATTCGTTTTTCTCTCGACTGCATCACTCGTTTTGGGATCATCCCTGTGTATAAAGGCTACTTCGATAAGATCAATCATCATCATGCATGTGCTGGTCCAACGTTTCATTGGCAAGACCATGCGTCTCGAGCTCGAGCCTACCGCTACGGGCGAGACACTGAAGGCGAAGATTCAAGACGAGGAGGGCAGTAAGCTAGACGAGATTCGCTAGCTTTCTCAATGAATTACACTTTCCTTTTTCTTAAGCTCCGCCCGACTGTCCGCGTTTGTATTTTGGCGGTAAATCAATCGAAGACGGTCGAACGCTCAGTAAGTTGTTTGTTTTAAGCTGTAGGTGTATGTATAACATCTAAAGATGTATTATGCTTGAACAAAAAACAGTTACAGTAGCTCGACATGGATATAAAGTCTAGAAGAAAATTTCCATTAGCTCATTTAACTTGTGTATCCTTAAAGTTTTATCTTTCTTTCTTTTTTTTTTCAGACTATTATGGTATTCAGGATGGGTCAACTATCGATTCTGTGCATCGTGTGCATAATGCATAGATGTCAAATCTCGTTTCTCTAACGAATTACTTTTTTTTCGCCCATCGTTCTATATTGTACGAATTCTTGTACTTTTCTTAATAACAATGCGGTCAGTAATATCTAATAATATATACACTCTCAAATTCCGGACAAATACGGAAATTTTTTTCCCCAATTCCGGACACACGTTTTTTTATCGAAAATGCCCCGTATTCACTGTTCAAATGGAAATAAATTCACTTCACTCAGTTTTATGTTTTAAAATAAAACTTATAAACAAACACATACACAGAAATTTTTTGTTATTCAACCCGCTGTTTTTTAAACGAATATTTCTCAACTGAATGTACTGATTTTAATAAATCTGGCTTCGATAATGAATAACTGTAGATATCTGAGCATGAGATCTGTGCATTTAGACGTATTTTCAGTTCCGCCGAGATTAATTCAGTTGACATACGATTTCGACGATCATCGACAAGATATTTCATTTGAGAAAATACGCTTTCTACGTAGGCATTACTAACGGGTATTGAAAAAATAAATGATATTAACTTGTACATATTTGGAGACGGTGTCGGTTTAACGAAAAACAACATCGATCATAATTGATCGCATCGGATTTGTTTGTTATTCTCTTCATCATACTCCCCTTGCAACTCACTTTGTGATGACGATGAAGAAGAAGACGACGAAATTGTTTTCATTTCGGTATTCTGTGGACCAGTTTTTTGACTGATGAAAGCTTGAATTTGATCGTAAAGTGGAATTTTCTTATCTTTGGTGGCTTTAAACGTCAATTGAATACCATTAAACTCGTCAAACAATTGATCTTCATTTAGCGTTTTTAGTTTTAATCGTTCAGTACACTCAATAACTTGTTGCCATGTCAAACGGTCTATTTCTGGAGAACCAAATGGACTAATTGCGTCGAATAAATGAGATGGCACTGAACCTTTTACGATGATAAATTCTCCTTATCGGTTTCTCTACTTCTTCGAATAATACTCATCTATTTATTCTATTGTTCGTTGAATGAATTTAACAAATGAATTTTTTAATTCAACAGCTTTTTCTTTCGATAAACTTGCTAATTTTGATCTACAATTTGAACCAAAAAATGATGAATCTAATCGTTGTTGCAGTTCAAATTTTAACGATGTAATCAAACGATGAAGATCCACTGCAGTTGTGTAGCTGCGTTGAAGTTGTAAACTGGTTTTCTGTATAATGAATAAAATATGTTCTAGAAAACTGAGCACACATGGACCTTCTTCAAGTGAAAAAAATTGTATTAATTCGTTTGGACAATCATCTTGTGCTAGAAAATAATCTTTTATTGGATTGTAAACTTTTAGAATTCGTTCGATAGACGTATGAAGAGATAACCATCTTGTTTTTATATGTTTAAGAATGACCTGCAAACATGGAAAGCAAAAAGAACAGTTATTCGGCAGTCAGATTTCTAGGGAATGAACTTCAGAAGGCCTTTATCTTACCAGATAATCTTGTTCGTAAAACTCATAGTATGTTTTTAATTCTTCAATTCGTTTTGCAGATCGGGAGAAATGTGCATAAATAGATAATAAAATTTTTTCAACATCAATGGTCAATAGTTTATGTGCTTGTTTGACGCTGTTGTACAATATGTGATTATAACAAGATCCTAGAAAGACAAAGAAAGAAAGCGCGTAGTTAAAAGTTTAAACTGAAAGTTAAATTCTGCCGAACACTCTAGTAAACTTTACTTTATTTTAAACAAATTTTTTCTTGCGAATGATGAATGATAATAGTAACTTACCTTTAATTAGATCTGAAAATTCGTCACGAAATAATTTGTATACACTGTGCTGCTCTCCGACATTTACATTTGTGTTATCAACACCGATTGTGGTCAAATTTTGCACATTTAAATGATGTTTTTTCAATACTTCACGTGCATTTTTGTGTACATTCGTAGCTGACTCACTTGCATCATCAATAAAATCAACGATACCTAAAAAGATAATCAAACATTTTTGGCATTGGGGGAAAAAAAAGAATTAAATTAATGTACCTTTTTTGACTCCAATTTCTGACAAATACTGAACACAAAATGGGTACATTTTCATATTTCCTTTATTGCTGGCATCGAATGACATTGAAAAGTATTGCGAAAA